TCTGTGCCACCCCTTCGGAGCATCCCCCCCTTTCCCTGTGCCACCCCTTCGGAGCATCCCCCCCTTTCTCTGTGCCACCCCTACGGAGGGGTGCTAGAACTAGGGGTGCGGCAGCTCTCCCTGGCTTGAAGTAGTAGTAACAACCCAATGCATGGTTTCCACTTTCCGCACCCCCACTGTCCCTGCGTCTGGAGATCGGTCACGTCTTCTGTACCCTTTGATAGAATCATAGGCCGGGTAGGGACCCGGAGAGGACATGTAGTCCCGTCCCTGCACTCAAGGGGACTGGGCCTATTTTATGTGCCAGTTTGAAGATCAGAGGAGCTGGTTGCCCAACCTCCCCTGCGGCGCAGTTTAAAGAGTCTTAAACCCAGGCGAAGCGGCAGCCCGGCAGAGTTGCTTGGCTGTGCTAACAGACTTGCCCCCATTTACATCGGAAATGTCATGGCGTCAGGGGAGGGTGTTTGGTGCTTTGATGTTTTAACGGTGCGATGAAGGAAGAGGCGAGAAGACGGAGGCAGCGTGGGGCGCCGCTACCAGGGGGTGCTGCTGTGGGTTACAAAGCGGGCGCAGTTTCAGTGGCTGTGGGGCTCTCTCGTTCTCTCCAGAATGTGTCCGTGGCAATGGAGTGTCCTACCGGGGTAGCCAACAGATCACCTCGAGCGGTGACCCGTGCTTGAACTGGCTGGCGGTGGGGAGAAACTACAGCTCCGCTCTCCTTGCAGGTAGGTGCGCTCGGCTCCCCCACCGCGAGGGCGGCCGAAGCTGCTACTCGGTGGTGGGCGGGTTTTATAGCAGGGGGTGGCTCCAAACAGCTCCTCAGTTGTGTTATTGTCCCCGTGCCGCCCCCCCCCCAGCTCCCCGCTCCTGTGTGCGCCTCCCGGGCTGGGTGGGGGTGAAAGCCCAGCCCCTGCCCCTGCAGCGCATTAACCATCTTTCCCGGCCCCCAGTCTCCGAGGATCACAGCAACTGCCGGAACCCCGACGGCGATGCGGCCCCCTGGTGCTACGTGAGCGGCGAGGCCGGCATCCCGGAGCGGAGCCCCTGCGACATCGCCCCCTGTCCAGGTGAGCGGGCTTCCGCCCGGCGCTGGGCTCCCCGCGCGCTTCCCCGGGCTGGCGCGAGCCCCCCTCCCCCAGTCGGGGACCCCCACCCGCTGCGGGGCCACGTGCCCGCTGCTGTCCCCGCGTGGGGTCAGCGGGGCCCGGGCACGTGCGCAGGGGGAGCGCATTGGGTAAAAAACGAGGGGGTGCAGTTCCCAGTCCCCACCCCTGCTGCAGCGGGATTGGCTGCCCTGTTGCCAAGCTTCTAGGGGCTTGCGATTGGTCTCCCGTTTTGGGATGATGTCATCCCAGCGGCGAGAGCTCGGCGTGTAAACAATTTGATCCC